ATTGCTAAAATTTTATATCTATATTGCAAAATATTAAATATTTTGCAATCTAATAGTACAAGGTTAATACATGTTATGCATAGTCTTGCATATTTGGTTCAATTTTAGAATAATTATTCGAACCTGCAGCTTGCTAAAAAGATTTTGAATAGGTTAGACAAACGATAGAATAATTGGAAATAACCTCTTTTAATTTTAGCTTGCTTATTGCATCCCAAATATCAAATGACCTATTTTAAAGATAAATTAAAAATCAATTATTTGAAATTAGGTAAATATCTAAAATATTACTATAAGGCTTGGTTGGAAGATGATTCTAAATGTATTTTACGTAAATTTGCTGATTTTTCTACAGGAGAATATCCATTTGATGAAAAGACTTACGATCATTTGGTGATATTTGGAAATATTGGAATTATACAAAATATTCAACGGTTGAATTAGGATTGGTTGCTTGTCAATTATATGGAATTTGTGTCAATGTAGCTGCAGTTGAACGCCTTTGAAGTTGCATGAGATTTTTATAAACAAATCGAAAAAATAGATTAGCAGTAAGTGTTTTTTAATTCAATTGCATTATACTATTTTTTAAATTATTATCGCTAGTAAAAAAAAAATACAAAATTGAATTTAGTACGCAAACTCATATTCTGTTTAACTATACTAAAAAAAAAATCGTAAATGAATACTACGTATTATATACATTTTGTTAATGCATATCTGTAAATTTTTTTGTGTACAAAAAAAATTTATATACAGAAGTGCATATACCCATATCGAATTTCTGTAGCCACCCAATAATCCAAAAGATAATTCTAAATTTAGATTTTTAATAATAGATTATTATTGGGTTGTTACAGTAATTTGAAATGCTGTAATATTTTTGTATTTTAATTTTTTTTTTTTTTTTAGTCATCAAGAGCTCTTGATATAAGTAAATTAAGAGCAGTTATTGCGTGGAAATATTCACAAAAATCCAAATCTGTTGAATTGTTTCTGCCTAATTTTTCAGAAGAAAGTACTATTAGTTAAGAAAATATAGAATGAAAATTATGGATTTGATGATGAACCTGTAGAGCCCTGTAAAATTAGACCTAAGTCTGAAGAATTTGAGAATCTAACCATGAATAAAGATTCAGATGATAAGTTGCCAGATTCAGATTCCTTAAAAGAAAGGTTTGAAGAATTTTTAGATATGTGGGTAGAGATAGCAGCAAAGGAGGTTGAGGAAATTAATGAGAAGGATGATGACGATGATAATAAGATGCTTTCTAAAATTAAGGACGTAATTCATCCGGCTATAAATCCTGCTGCTAAATGTGATCTAAAATCACTCTTTAATGATTTACAGTTACCCTAAGTACAGTTAACTCTGGATTTAATAAACCTTTCTAAACAAACTCCAGATATAATGAACTCAAATTTTTAAAATTTTCATAGTAGTTCAGTATAAAAAATGCTAAGTTTCTTAAGAAAATATAGTAATTTTTATAATGAACTTTTTTTTTTTCCAGAACTATTGGTTCATTATAGTAAGAGTTAACTATATATAGATCAGATATTTAGATTGTCTAATGCTTCTAAAAAATTATAGTACAGTACAGTACAATAACCTTTATAATACTCCATAATATTCTATACAAAATTGTTTATAGAAAATATATTTACTATATGTATAAAGAATTAAATAAGTTCTTTTTAATAAAGTTAGATTAAGTTGTGTTGACATACCTTGCTTCTTTGTTTAAAAGACCTTTGAATTTAAATTATGTATAAAAAATTAACAAGTTAAAATTAATTTTTAACCATATTAAAGCAAACTAACATATAAGTTAAAAAATCAGATCGTTCAGAATCATATAACTCTAAAAGTCTGTGATTAAAATAAGTTAATAGTATCTGAATAATGAACACAAATTAAAAGATCTAAAACGGCACAATTTTAACAAATAGTATAATCATTTGAAGTGTAAATACTTATTTTTAAATTACTTGAGAATCAAATACATATTACTTAGTGAAATGTTTTTTTAACTCCGCCTATTTTCTGAACATATGTCTACGGTTATTATATGATTATGGACAGTCTGGTCCGTGTCCACATCCCAGTCCATATACCAATGCTTGTCATACATATATATATATCCACAGCTTATTATATTCTTGAACGTGGATATGGACAGTCCAGTCTGGTCTAGTCCATATCTATATCCGGTCTAGGTACCAATACTGCCCTTAGGCAGTGATGTATACAAGATATTTTGAGACATAGTGTTTAGACATTTTAGGACATTTTGACAAAAAATAAAGCTAATTTATTCAAAATTTTATTATAATAATCTGGTTTAATCTTCTAAGTAAAGTTGTAGAGCATTAGATGGAATATATAATTATATATTTTTTATAAAAATATTTTAAATAGTTAAAGCTAAAATTAATATTTTGGATCTTTTTTTTTTTTGAACATTTTCAAAAAAGTGGCAGAACAGTCAAAATATATATTAATGCCCTTAGAGGTAGCCGAAAGATGTCAAATTTATAGCTTAGATAGTTAATATATATATATATACTTTGATCTAATAAAAATACTAGCAAGGCTGCTAATAGTAGAAAAAAATAGCTCTAAACTAAACTAGTAATCTAGACAGAGTAGTTAATAATTGTACCAGTAGTCTCAAAATATTGTTTAACAAATCTATAGTATTCAAGTTATATTACTATTATGTGTTGTCTTTGATTTATTTTTATATATATTCAAACTGGCTCTTATATATATCTAATGTACTAATCAAATTAATCAAATCACGCAGGTTAGGGACGTGACAAAAATCAGGTAATTTTTTAGGGGGAGGGGTAAAAAAAGTTAAAATTATATATAAGAATCTGATTTTTTTTTATATTAAGAGGGGAAGGGGAGGTAAGCCTCTGATAAAAAATAATCAGATGATAAATAATACTGCCCTTACTAGGTCTATCTAAAAAAGTAAATATCCTTATATAATAACTTTCTATTTTGAATAATTAACAATACTGGCTGTTTTGAAAAATTATATATCAATCTTTAGAAGTGAGTAAGCTAAGATGCCCACTTTTTGACAAAATTTACTTGAAAAAAGTGATGGAATAACAAAAATATGTGAGGTTCTTTTGTAAGTTTTATAGTTGTATAGTTGAGTCTTCAAGATTATACTATTTTAGCGAGGGTCTAACTACTACTTGCTTCTAAAATAAACCTTTTAGTTTGGATACCAAATATTCTGAAGAGTTTACTGATAACAGAAAGTTTAATCTTAAAAAAAATTACTCAAGTTATACCTGCTTCTTGGTGTTTTATATTTTTTGAGCTTTGTCAATAGCAATCTATTCAAAGATAAGTTTAGTTTTTAAAATATCTTTTCTGATTTGAATGTCAAACATCTTGAGAAGTTCAGCAAAAAAAAAGCTTAACTCCAAGAAAAACTATCTAAGTTATATCTACTTTTTGGTATTTTATATCTTTAGGCTTTGTTGATAACTGCTTATTATATATAAATAGAATATTGCTATTTACATCATTATTTTTGCTATTTGCACCATACTAATTGCTAAAATTTTATTATTTTTTTAATAGAGTTAATGTAAATATACCTGTAGAGTATATTAAATTTTTTGTACCTATTATTTTAATTATAGTAATATTGATATTGTTTATATTAAGTTAGAGTTAGGGTAAAAACTATATTAAAGTTTGAGTTTAGACAGTTATATAGTAAAATCACTTAATGAAACTTTTTATTAATACACAGGAGATAGTTTAATATACAATTTCTTGCCAAATAAACAATTTTTTTCAAAATGAATATTTGTTTTGAATTTTTCTATCATATAATATTATACCTAATTTTGACTTTTGGTAAAGATCTATATAGGTCATATAATGTGGGTATATATATTTAAACCTCTAAAAACTTCTGATATAACTTAGAGATTACTAAAAAAGAGGTTATCTAAAATAGAGTAGAATCATGTGATGCTTATAGTGATTGGCCAAAATCAAAAAGTAATAATTGGCTAGAAAAAAATTATCTGAATCTATTTTGAATTTTTTTTAAACTTCGAACAAAGATATCTTAGCAACTATCAAATAAAATTTAATAAAAATTTTTTATTCTAATTTTACTAATTCATAAAATTAAAATAAAATAAAATTCATTGAGTTTTATTAGATAGTTGCTAAGATATCTTTGTTCAAAGTTTAAATATTTAAATATAAACTGTGCTGAAATTTTGAATAAAGATATAGCAACTATCTAGTAGAATTTCATGAAAATTGGTTTATTTTAATTCTAAGTATTCTTAGAATTAAAAAAATTTTGTCAAATTTTATTAGATGGTTGCCAAGACATCTACATTCAAAGTTTTAAACATCTAACTAAATAGAAGCTATACCAAAGCTATTTTAAATTTTGAACAAATATATTTCAGCAACCTTTTAATAGAATTAAATAAATTTTTTTTATTTCAAATATATAAATTTAGTTGAATAACAATAAAAAAAACTCATTGAATTCTATTAGATGATTGCTAAGATATCTTTATTTAAAGTTTTAATATTTAATAAAATTAAATTGTACCAAAACTACTTAAACTTTGAATAAAGATATCCCAGCAACACCTAATAAAATTCAATAAGCTTTTTTTAAATTATAATTTAGCTAATTCATATAATTAAAATACAAAAAATTTTTGTCAAATTCTATTAAAAGATTGTTGAGATATATTCATTTAAAATATTTAACCATTCAATAAAATTAAATTGCATCAAAATTACCTAAACTTTAAATAAAGATATCTTAAAAACTACTTAATAGACAATTTACCTATCATCTAAAGAGGATCTGCAAATTTTATAAATAAATTTTACTATTAAGCTAAATATAAAAAGATT